AAGACATCAAGTCAAGAAATTTCACGTGAGTTTGGTTGTTTAGATTTATTATTATACGTTTGTTTTGCATCTTTTAGATTATTATTGATATAAATCAGCCGCATGAAGCTTTGCCAGAACCATCATCTTATTCCGATGTATACCATTCATTGCAGAAAAATGATCAAAGATATGAGCAAGAGCGTCTGATTAATTGGAATTCAACCAACGTCTAATTTAACTAATATCTTCGTCTTATCTTTGCTTTTTATTCTCTATTAGAAATGATCTGGCTTTCTTTTTTAAAATAAAATGAACAAATGTTAGTGTAGCATAAGAAAAAGGACAAATAATTATTGTAGAGCATGCTGATATATGAAATGATCCATAATAGATGGCTCACTTTTGAATCATTGGATGTCCTTTCATATGGCACGCTGAATTCAAATATTAACTTTCAAAGGTGACTCTACTAGTGATGGGAGGACATCTGCGATCTTTTTAAGATCATTTTTAGTTAATAGATTGAATGTTAACGAACGAATTTATGTAAACAAGATAACATTCTTCAACCAAAAATTTACGCATATCAGTGTACATGGAAGAAAAGGCGAAAGTAGTGGAATGTTTGTTGAATCGATAGAAAGCTCGATTATACAGACTATGCAGTAGAATTTATATTGTCAGAAAAATCTTCTCTAGAGAAGTAAATCATCATTTAGTTGCGTCAGACCATCGACTTATTCCCTGATCTTTGCCATCTAATGATTTGTTATATTACAACGATCTTTCAGCAATGATTCCTCTTAATAATATCGAAAAGTAAAAATGTCGAAAACAAGATCTCACTCTCAATTCACAGAAGGAGAGAAATACTTCCCGAAAATATTTACCCTCATCAAGAATAAACGAGAGACGTGCGCAATCCCAGAACAGAACGAGAAAAAGATAGAATGAGGAAAACATAGAACGAGAAAACAAGAACGTATAATAAATAGATCTCTATGTGATATACTCTATGTTGTGTATAACTCAATAGTATATTTTGTACAACTATTTTTTCTTCGCAATGGCTACATCAACATTTCGTTCTAAATCAACGGCACTCGAAGTTGTCAAAGGATTAAATGCAAAATTAAATAGAAAAGTAGTGATCATTACTGGTACAACTTCAGATAAACTGTTTTATTTCGATGAAATTTACTTAATAAACCTTTGATTATTTTAAGGTATTGGTCTTGAAACTGCTCGTGCATTGTCATATGCAAAAGCACATACAGTTATTACAGTACGTGATATAAATAAAGGTGTACAAGTTGTGAAAGATATTAAAAAAAAACAACAGATAATAATCAAGTCGAAGTAATGGAAATGGGTTGTACATCACTTCAATCGGTGAGAAATATTGTTTCTCAATTTCGAACACGTCAATTACCAGTTCATATTCTTATTTGTAAGTCAAATATTTAACTCTTCGCAGTTGATTATATACATGATAGGTAATGCAGGAATTACAGCACATCCATATTTGAAGACAGTTGATGGTTTTGAATTACATTTTGATGTTAATCATTTGGCTCATTTGCTTCTCACTACCAGTCTTCTATCTGAACTCAAAGAAGGAAAACCATCACGGGTTATTATCGTCAGTTCACTTGCAAATAAATGTGGTAAGATTAATTGAAATGATATTAATTGGGAAAAAAATTATGATAAATGGCTTGCCTTTGCTTAGAGTAAAACAGCTAATATTCTCTTTGCTCAACAATTCAATAAATTATATCAATCACAAGGTATTCGAGCATATTCTTTGCAACCAGGTGGGATTCTTACTAATTTAAAACAACATATACCAGAAAAAGAACAACGTGCGATGGGATGGTATAAAGATGATGAAACATTGATTGCTATTTTTAAAACTGTTCAACTAGGTGCGTCAACTATTGTTTATGCTGCTCTCACACCTGAACTTGATAATTATGGTGGAGAATATCTTGAAGATTGCACCATTAGTAAAGGTATCAATCCAGATAAAACAGTCTTGGGTATAGCGCCACATGCAGCAGATATGGAAGCAGTGGAACATTTATGGAAGTTGAGTGCGCAAATAGTATCAGGGAAAGAATAAAATGACTCATGATTGTTCTTTTATATAAACTGTAAAACTTAGTTTTGGTGGTTTCTATGCAAATAAAAATTTTTGACGGCAGACAAAATTCATCAAAATCTACAAAATGCGCCCTCTCCTGACTGAAAAGCAATTTGATAACCGGGAATATTACCTTATGAGATGAAACATATGTATCATTTATTACCAAAAAAATATTTAGACGTGCTTTTATCTTTTATCTAAAACAGAGGTAAGAAAAGTACGCTCGTGCTCCTATTTTTACTGTAGCTTCTCAAAAGAGATACTTTTTAATGAAAGTGCGCTATTTAAAACAAGCCATAACTATTTAAAAGCTTTGATATTTCTTTTTCGTACTTGTCTAGCAATTTAAACAAAACGATGGTAATACTAAATTATTTAAACAGTTACGCAGATCTTTGTTTTACATTCTGATTTTTCCATCTATAGGTGTGCCGAATTCCCCCCCCAACAAGATATGAAAAGAGTCAGAATAAACAGAAATAACTTCAGATATTTAAGGAAATAACAGAATATGACGGATTGTTAGATTTTTTCATCATCTATCCATTGAGTAATATTGTGTCGGAATAATATTTGTCGTTAGTTTAGGGAAGACTGTCATACCATAATCAAAACATTCGATTCCTATCTACATGCCTGTAGTTAACACAAAATATCTGTACATTATATCTCACATTTAATCACTGTTTATTTAGATATCTGTAAATAACTTATAAACAACATTCGTGCTAAAAAACTGAATCTAGATCATAGAATAACGAATAAATACGATTTTACATCTACATTCTACAGATAAATACTTGTCGATAATGTTGATAATTCTATAGTTAGTCATATATCAATCTATAATATGATACCATTCGATTCGTTTACTTTTTTCTATACGTCAAAAAAATCAACAGCTTGAAATAATTTTCTGATAAATTTTTATATCTATAAAAGGCTTTTGACGGTACGAAAAAGAATAAATTTGCAATCTGATTATTTTAAAAGCTTTTTATTGTATTCAGTAACGTAAACCTCTGATTTTTTAGACAATCCTGACAATCTGACAAGTTTAATCGACTTGAGGAGGTATATCAGACTTCAAAAGCATTCAAATTTTAAATGTTCATCTTTTTTTATCAAAAGACTTTTGAATCATAGTTGTAGAATTATATGCATGTTTAGGAAAAAAGTAGACATACAAATTAATAATGATATTTTATAAATAACTCACAATCATTTCTCTACCTCTGCTCGATGAAGAATCAGTAATGGAAGATTAATATGCGAGGTGATTATTCATTTTTTTTATTATATACTCATGTGAACGATTATATAGCTATACAAATCATTAAATAGTTATAGCAAGTAAAAATAGGCGCATGATCTTTAAATTGATATGATTTATTTAAATAGCGATACGAGTGACTAAATAGCCATGCAAATTGTTAAATAGCTGTAGTTAATTAAAATAGCTTCAAAATCTTTCAATTGCTCTACTCGATTTAAATAGCTGTGCAGATAATTAAACAGCTATGCAAATGTTTAAATAGCTATGACAATTTGGAATTAGCTATGCAAATCTTTAAATAACTATGGCAAGTTGGAATTTGCCATAAGGTGTGCAAATAGCTACAATTGATTTAAATAGCCATGCAAATGATGAAATAGCTAAGCAAACTAAAATAGCTCCAAGATCGGTAGATAACTAGTACACAATTAAATGGCTGATGCAATTTTATATACTAACTTAGTCTTAGTAACAGCATAAATCGAAAAGATTATATATTAAATTCTAGAACATACATTAAATTTGTATCAACAAGAAATAGAGGGTATTATTTCGATTCACCTTAAGTTTTTCTTACACAAAGGTTTCAATATAAAACACTCTTATAATTTTTCTCTATATATTCTCAGTTTTGCACTTCATTCTAATATATATTCTGATCACACTACATTGCTAATTCTTTTTCATTTCTGAACAACTGACTCCAATAATCCAGATGTTATCACTATACAAATAGAATGAAGAAGAAATAACATATAGGTAAGAATGTCCGATAGATACAGGCGTCAATTCGTTTCATTGTTCTTTCTTATCAGTATACATAAATTCATCGCTTTTCACGCTAAAAATCGCTACAGATCAACAGAAACTCTTCTATAAAAATAAGAGCAATTGTTGTAGATTGACGAGCATAGCAGCTTTCTGATGATTTATACATGGAGATGATAATAATAAACTAGCATATGTACTAGAGATCAGTGATCCGTCCGTCACAAAAAATGTCTCACTTTGTTTTCTACATTAAAGAAAAACTATTTTGTAAAAACTGGAGTTTTTCATGACACTAGATTCAACGTTTAGCAATTGGCAAATTTAAAGCTCTAATCCCTTTGTGAAAATCTTTCTCATAATGGTTTTTCCAAAGTCTTTCTAAATCTGGACTATTTGACGTTGAAAACTTTCCAATTGAACTTTATAACTGATTGTTACCTTCCAATATAGGTTTTTCAATAGCGAAATGAAACTCAAAAGATTTATTTTTCATTTGATAATTGGTGCTCGGTAAAGTTCAAGTATCACACAACATAACTACAAGTCAATCAATTCTATATTGTGAAACGTGTAGTTACATTAGCTGCATAACAGTTACTGCTTCATAGCTTTCGCGAGTTGAGTTGAAGAGTTGGTAGACAACTCCAGCTCAAGTGAGCTGGAGCGGGTCATCAGTTCTTTTCACATGAGCTGTCTCATAACTTTTCAAGGGCTATCCTACACGGATACTCAACACTCATCAATTTATATCCTATGAGAGTACCCTTAGGTCTTCAAGACCTATACCATAACCTATAGTATAGGTCTTGAGGACCTAAGGATACTCCTAGAGTACAGCACTTGAAGACCTAAAGGTATCTCTATAGTATAGCTATTGAAGACCTAAGGGTATCCTTATAGTATAGCACTTGAAGACCTAAGTACCTCTCATAGAGTAGCTATATAAGCACTCAAGTACCCCTCTTATGATAGCCCTATAAGAACCCAAGTACCTAGCCTAGGATAGCCATATGAGGACCTGAGTACCCCTACTAGGGTAGCCATAAGAGGACCAAAATACCCTCGGTAGGATAGCTAGACGAGGACCCAAGAACTGGCCATGGTTATTTCTTACCTATAGTACAAGCACTTTAACTTTAACTTTTTTTGAAGTTAAAGTGTGAAAATTTTTACTTTAATTAAAGTTTAAAGTTTAAAGTAAAACAGTTTAAACTTTAATACTTTTTTTGAAGTGTTTTTAAAGTTAAAGTGACACCCCTAGTAGCAGAATGACGATTTGAACTGCAACTGAAATGAAAATAACGACTGAAAAAAGGAATCTTAATCAAAACAAAGATACTCACGATAATGGTAGCCGAGGCAACTGTTGATAATGAGTTCCTCGTTTCTGTGGAGATCAGAAACGATCCTGAAGGATTACAGGATTTATTACCACAGCCTTTACTACCGTTGTAAATATCTACTATTTTAGATAATTTTTCATATAAATTACATTCAAAAAAAATAAGTATTTGTAAACAAACTATTATTCAAATAATCATTTTTTTAAAGCAGGGACATTGGAACATTGAATAATTCATAGAATGTCAAAAAAAGTGATTATTTTAAATTATCTACATTTTTTCAATGATTTTTTTCCAACGCGAGGACATGGGGACATCGAATGATTGAATAAACTTATAGAAACATATTTTTTCTGTATGAACTGAATATCTTCGATTTCTTTGTTTTTGTTGTTGCGAATGTTTATAAATCAGATAAGTGAATAAAGATCAATAAAAATATCTCCGACCAAAAAAAAAAGGATGGAATGTGGAGGATGCTTATTCTAATGTTTTTTCTCATAAATCTTTTGAATTTTGATGTAACTAGTATAAAATAGAATTTTGTATAACAAAAAACTTTATTGTTTAATTTAGAAAGAAAATCAATTAGTTCAATTAATAATTGATCATTATTTTGTTTTATTCTTTATATAAACAAAGTGTGTCTTGTTAATTCTATTTACGGCAGTAAATCCTGCATTTGGATTCCTGGAAGCCACGACTTTATCCGAATGTCGACTGTTGACTAGGAACATGACTATGGACAGAAAATACTTTCAAAAGTAGTAGTAGTAAAAACGAATATCTTCTGTCATAGACAGAAGGAACCTTTGAGCTCGATTTTAATAGGATTAACGATATGAAGCAAAACACTATTGCTTATGAAATATGTATATTTCACCTATTATGTGCAACGACGGGAAGAAAAAAAAATAAAGCCGTGATATAATGCACATTTTTTTAACCATCGATTAGCTCTCTTTCTTTTCATCATTGAAGCTGTATGATCAATAAGTGATAGAACAAATAAAAGATAGAAAATATTTTGATGAGAAAAAAAAGTGTCTCAATGATATATGATCATCCATTATCCAACGTATATGCTTGAATGCACGCAAGCCAAATATTTTTTCAATATGCACATAAGCAAAAAAATGCTTTCATTTTCTTTAATAAACAACGCCAATACAATTACCAACATAATATATTCGTCCTTGCTAAATTTTTTGCATTAATACAAGAAGCAAACGTAAGTCTTTTGATATAGCAGTATTTTTCTAAAGCCCTTCTAGTCTATCAGTATTCAGAAGATTTTTCTCCCTTAAATAATACTACTAACAAGAAAACTCTACTTTTACATTCATATTTTACTCCATGCATAGGAGATTATAAGATTAAAATAAACATTAAAGGATTTATGCTCTGGTTGAAATTCACGTGAATCTTTTAGTTTTAAAAGATTTTTCTTATAGGAAGTTAGTGTTCGAGTAAAATCATATGTCAAATTTTGATCTAAACCTTTATCAATATTAAAACTTTGCTATGACTAACTCACGTATAAAGTTTCAACGTAATTGAAGTAAATATCAGATGCAAGTGATATC